ATAATTTCATAGCGATACATTTATTGACAAATATAGCGTAACCTCTGCTTTACAGCACCTCCATTCAGGGAACACAAACTTTGGTTCAGGAAAAATGTTCATATAGTCTTTGTATCTAATTTATGAGATCCTCGCAGCTAAGAACGCTACTGAAACGAGTAGTTGAAAATAGGACCTGAAAAAATTTAGGCCCGTACGGGATTTGAACCCATGACCTCTGCGATACCGGTGCAGAGGTCATGGGTTTGATACTTTGATACTTACTGTCAATGATGTCTTTGTTTTGACCAGGCTTTCCAATATACATTTCTGGATGAATTCCGACAAGATGAAGCGTGTTTAGATGTAAGCCAAGGTCACAGTGGAGCCAAGATAACACTTTATGGCTGCCACGAACTGAAGGGAAACCAGGAGTTTAAATACACCAAGGTAACGAGGAATGAAATTAATGATAATCACAGTCTTTATCGTCTACGGTGTAAGGAGGTTAAGTCCCATCACTCATATGTATGCACTGGACGCCTCCATGAAAATAAATGAAGCCAGTTATTTCATACGCTATGACACAGTCTCATTCCTTGGAATTATCTTGCGCTAAGCATCTATTTGCTGTAATTCGCTCGCTAGGTTTTTGTTTTGCTATTGCGTTTCCATTGATTTACTGGGATTACCCTGCAGTCAGCTTTTGAGTTTATTTTAATTTACGGTAAAGACTTCTATTAGATCTCTCGATTAGTTCGTGCGCTGTGATTGGTCGATTTAGCGGGCCGTATTTCACTGTACGGCCCGCTTTATTCAAAAGTTTGTTTAAATTGAAATCTTGGTCCTCTATTTGAACCCAGAGATGTAATAAATATCTTACTAACCCCTCGTATTCTTGGTCCGTACTGTAAGTTACGGTACCCCGTTTTTTTTTCGCTCAGTCCGTATGTTACAGTACGGAGCGAAAACCTGTTTAATAAGGAGAGGCATATCTCTCCTTGGTAACGTCTTAAAGTTCACGATTTTGCAGTGTGTAGCCTGCAAAGCAGGTGTCGTATTAGGGCAAGTGAACCTTAAGAAGCTGGCGATCCTTTTTTCAACGTGTTTGATTTGGAGGTAGAGGCAGCGGTAGGGGGGAAGGGGGGAAGGCCCACCCCACTCCCCCTCCTTATTGTTGACCGTCGCTCACCCCCATGATACAAATTTATTACTCTCCCCAGTCTACCGCTGCTGTTTTAATCAAAGATGGCGACCATAATTGTCGCTAAGAAAATACTGAGCACTCGCTCGCCAAAATTACGTCTGGTCTGCAGGTTATGCAGCGTGCGGCTCAATGGTGTGGCAGTCGCGTATGGCTGGACATGCATGTGTACTGTCTCTAACAGCACCACATCTTTACCTCAGTGTAAGGCATGTGAGCATCGTTTATTTCTGATTAGAAACTCAAATAATTTGCCTTCGGGGGTTCCGTTCTCCAGGTCACGCCAATCTTGGTGATTTCACGTTGTTGTTCTGCAGAGGACGACTAAGAAACTTACAAAGGTTCAGTATGCACGTGCTGAGCTATTGTTCTGCCCATTAGATCTTTCTGTAATATTTTGCTGTTTCTGTGTCTTTCACAGGAAAATAAATTACTCCATGTGATTACCAACAACTGCGTGACAGCGACCAACAAAGGTTATCCAGTTATGGAACGTTGTGATAACATTCCAGAGCAGATATGGGAAATTCAACTGAACGATCTCTCTAAACTTACTACTAAAAGACCTCCTTAGGTGATCAAGTGAATGGTTTGATATTAGAATATTAGAGTTTGGTAATATTTTTAAGGTGGAGGAAATAGTAATAATTATACTTTAGAGTGATTTCTGCGTCCTAACGTCAATTTTGCGCAATTGAATGGGTAGAAATTAAATAGGAAATTAAAAATTTTTTTTCATAAATAAAACACGATTAGAGAAATATTCTTATGTCCTCGTCTACTAAATTGTTTGATAAAAAATTTTAGAATGCACGATTGGGTTGGTAAGGTATATTAACAGCTTATTATATTTGTTATTATCACATGACCCGTAGGCGCTGCACGCCTAGTGAAAGCCGACGTGTGTAGGGCCGGACCGGTTGACGTGAGCCGGTCCCGAAAAAGCCGTCCGGCCCTGCAATCACACGGCTTTGGTGCAAAAACTTTAAAAAAAGAGAAAGAGAGAAAAAAGTTGCGTTTTTTGATGAATTGTTAGTTTCTTACTCTGACTCGAAAAAACTTAGGAAAAGATTTCAGTGTAGAAATAGACGGAGATTATGAGTTGCGATGCATCAAAAAAAAAAACAAAACAAAGCAAAACAAAAACAAAAAAAAACAGAAAAAACCCCAAAAAAACCAACAAGTGAGCGCAGCGAAGAAGTGAGTTTTTGATACATCGCAACGAGTGAAGTCGTTCAAGTACTTTCCATGATATGATGCTTTTATTTCATAAATACTGAGATTTTTTTCTTAGTTACCAACACATTTCAAATTTTGGAATTGTACGAATGTGGGAATGCGTCGTTCGTTCAATCAGAGACACGAACGATAGTATCTCGCAGTGTAAATCTCTGTATATATGAAATAGTCTTTTCTGTAGCCGTCTCGATTGCTCCTGTCTATCGCGTCCTATTCAGGTTGGAATAAATTTTTGAAATTTTCAACCCTTAGTGCGCTCGGTCCGTATGTCATGACCTTGAGCTGTATACCTTTTCGATCAAAATAGATTTTAATTTCTCCAATTGCCGCGAATGACTTCTCATCGTTGATTAATGAATAAAGAATCGGATTTGTATTAACTTTTGGCAAATACTTACTTTAAATACGTCTAGTCCCTTGCTGGAAATCAGTGGTTAAGGTTCAACTTAGTTCAGAGTTTAGCCCTTGGACATTTTTATTATTAATTTGTACCAGTGGGAGACCTATCGGCGTAGTGGTTTGCGCTGGGTCACGTGGTCAGGTCTCATTCCCAGACCAAATTGTAGTGTTGTGTTGTTTTCTTGGGCAGCAAAATTTCCTCTCACATGGCCCCTCTCCACTCAGGGGTTTAAACAAAAAAGACGAATTTTCAGGGAAATCCATCGAAATGCTGTGGGTACAGGCTTGCCATCGGGAAGGGGTGGGGGAGGGTGGTAACAATACGCCAAGTCGGTTTTATGTGACAGAAATTTAAAAGAGGCCTCCTGGCTCATAAGCTCCCGGTGCCTGTGTTTGGTTACCTGTGTTCCAGTCCACAGAAGTGCCGTTTGTTAAACCATAAACGAAATACCAAAACGAAATACCAAAACAAAAGCAAAGAAGCGTGGCTTATTCGATAAGGCGTCCGACTTAGGATCAGGAGACTGGGGGTTGAAGTTCCTTCGTGGTCGATGTGTTTAAATGCATTGAGACTCGTGAACTGTTATTACTATTAAGGTTATTCCTTTCGTATTGCGGAATGTTTTGCTGGTGTTTCATGGCGGATCGTAGTCGTCATTACATGAACCCAGAGACGAATCGAAAACACAGGCAGTCAATTTTTCAATTGGACAGACATATGATGATTCGTTTTTAATTTTTTAACAGAAGTTGAACGATATGAATTATACGAACATTAAGTATATTGCTCAGGCGATTATAGAGGTGCGTGCGCTGATTGGTTGAGGCGTGCGCTGATTGGTTGAGGCGTGCGCTGATTGGTTGAGGCGTGCGCTGATTGGTTGAGGATTGCGCATATTTAACAATTATTCGCTGAAGGCGAATTGATGGGAATACTGTTGAGTAATCCTCGAGAAGAAGTCGAAAGGATAATTCAACAATATTCACTGAGTTTGAGACGAAAATTGTTTCAGTATAATTTCTCAGGTGATTTAGATTTTTGAAGTAAATTCTGTAAATAAAGAAAACATCGCGCTTATTTTGCTACAATTCTGTTGATTATAGTTTTAACAGGAGGGTGTCAATGGGGTTGAGCGTTAGCCGTAAAACAGCCAAAAGATTTAGCCAATTGGCGTAAAAATTGATAAAGTGTAACCGTTCGTCGTAACAGAAGTTAACCGTAAAAAACATTTTGTGACAATAATGGAAAGATATTGACCCATAGCCGTAAATTGGCCAAAAATTTAACCGTTAGCCGTAAAAGCCATGACCTTTTTGAGACCCTCCAACAGGTTTGTCCAATTGAATCCGCAAAAGCTTCACGTCTTTCTTTTGAAAAGGGTTCCGCGAAACTCCGTAGCATCGTTTGTGCTCTTTGCAATTGAATTTTCTTCTGTCGCGTTTGAGTGAGCTTTGATTTCTACGGAAATTTTGGCCTCTTCTCCTGAGCTAAACAACCCGACTGGCCCGCTAAGAGACGAAATTCTGAGTTAATTTTTTTTATGGAAAGACAGAAGTTTCGTTGCGGTCTGCAGTGTTCATGTGAAGATTTCAGTCTTTTCGCCCAGAATGTCGGTAATCGGTGAGGCTGTCAAGATTTTCCAAAACGTGTGCTTATAAATCTAGTATAATAACATTACAAATCTCTACTGAATGCGTCTTAACTTTGTCGGCAGCAAAGGCCCTATTCAGTCAAAAATGAATCCACAGTTCTGGGGGAAAGTTATGTTTCTTATGTCGCTATTTCTGGTTAGTTTTCTTTGCACCATCAGTTTGGTAATTTTTACTCAGTTTCTCCGCGCCATTGCTTTCATTCTGCGATAAATTAATTCGTCTACGCTTCACTGGCCGGCAATTCATTCAGTTTCCTGCGCTTTGGTTGCTTTATTGCACTTTTTGATGGGTTTCCTAAGAATCAGCTACTTGATCACAAAATAAGATAAAATAGACCATTTTCTCAGACAAACTTCACTAATGTTTGAGGAGACGGCGTGGCCAAGTGGCGCTATACTTGTACTCTGATGGTCCCGGGTTCAATTCCTCCATCCTGACTCACTGGATATGTTCTCGGTCGCCCCGAGTACAACTAGTTGGTTGCGTTGTGTAAATCGCGAACTGGTTTGCCTCCCACCAGTTGTGATTTTCAAGTACTTTGTGTTTATTTGAAATATTTGTTTCTCTATCTTGCCTGGCCCACAATCTAAACTACTGGGTCCACTAGTACTTGTGGTAGCCATTAAAGTCTATTTATTTACTTATTTATTTATATTTATGTCATAAATTGCACTGCACACAACATCAGGTCGATCCTATCTTTACTTTCATAGTAACACACGAAAGCGCGCATGTTCATCAATGAGTTGCGCGCATTTGCAACAACGAACAGTGCTGTAATATATCAAACACGAGGAAGAGGTTTCATCCGATATCTAAGCACCGAGAAGTGGTTGAAAAAACGAGGCGCAGCTGAGTTTTTTTTAACCAACCTCAAGGTGTTTGGATATCGGATGAAACACCCTTTCGAATATTTGATATAGCTTCTCAAACCAGTAATAATTCTTGGAGAAAATCAAAGCAAAAGTTCACCAAATTTTATGATAATTAAGATCACATATCCTAACCTCATTCACGGTTGTAATTTCCTTTGTTTTCTCAGAATGAATTATCAACGAGTTTGAGAAATACTTGTGAAAACAACTGTTATAAAATAAATATCTGAACACCTACGCTAATTTGAAACTCTTCTTAATGATATACTCGTATTTGAAGTCTGGCATTATCTAGGGTCTACCTAAAAACGACTCTTTGACAAGTTCCCGAGTTCTCCAATAACTTAACTTAAAAAGCTTAACTTAAAAATCAAGCAAGAACACCTTTACGCAGGATAAAAATAAATAAAACTCTTTTCTCAATTTAGGAGCAAAATTATTAGTAATTTCCTACCAAAAAAGCATGGTGATTTCCTTTCCTTATCGTTTTTTGTTTTGCGTTTTTGCATATGCACAAAGAAAAGCTTTTCGTATAACTGGTCACAGATCTCCACCATTACTACGAATGTAGGTCCTTTTACGGAAAAAACGTCCAACGCAAACTGTTGAAACTATACAAAATTCTCAAGCTTTCTCGTCTGAACTGCCAAGATAAGTCTAACCTCAGCAAGGTTGACAGTCAGTCAGGAAAAAAGTGAAATGGTCTCTGCTCATGCAGAAGGAAATCACGAATATTTTTTAGTCGACTTGAACTTGATCACTTTCGAGGTTTCCCCCGCCCGCGACCTCTTTGTCTTGGTTTAGCATCCACATAGCCAGTGAAAATAGCATTAAGCGGCAGTCCCGGGCATGGATTGATTAGAAGCTGCTTGCAGTTTTCCAAGAGAACATCTCGCCTCAAAGCATCGACGAGTGACTTCAGATCTTTGAATTCTCTGTCCGCAAGCAGAAGGTTGCTGGTTTGTAAGTCTCTCTAATAATGAAAACGTTGCGAAACATGATTTGCACCACAAGGAAAAGAACGTAAGTGCGAAAAAAGTGTCTTGTTTTAAGCCCGAGTCATAGAGAATTGCCTTTTTATAAGGAGACGTAGGCTCACTTTTCAGCATCACTATCTCAAAAGAATTTGTGAAATTAAACTCAGATTACGATATGAGCGTCCAAAGAGAAGCCTGAAGTTTCCAAAATTATCTACGAACGAGCATTATAATTTTATTACGGCCGCCGCCATTTTGAACCTCGCTTAGGAACCTGGCCAACAACGGGTTTCGTACCAAAAAGCCTTCTTTCCTTCTTTCTTCTTCTATTGGAGAACTGTTGAAACATATTGAGCTGCTGTAAATAAAATAGTAGCAAAGGTACTAGCTGTTTGTGCAGCGCGCATTTGCGTATGCGGCCAGGTTACAAAGATGTTCTTAAAATTGCGGCGTCCAAAGGTGTTTTTGGCTCATTTGAAGACAACGCTCAAACGATCGTTTCGTTCCACTTGCAATTAATGTCAGTTACCTTAATTTGAATTTGAACCACGCCTCTATCCCTTGTTTTAACGGCAAGTACGAATACACCATCGTGAGCTTTGGAAGAACTGATCCGGAGAAGAAAATGCCCTGGGATCTGGTCACTAAGGCGTTCGTCTGATTCGGTTTCGTTCATTCGACCTGCAAACCAACTTGTAAGGATACTTTAACATTAGGTAACTTCTGACTTTTAACAATTATGCATAACCAACAAAATATCATGATTTGACCGATGATGAATGCATAAATAGGTTTGGGGATGCAACAGGGAAGATGCTATGGGATCGTCGAATGGTAGGGCGTACAAAAGACTGTTTGAATAAAATTATGGAGAATAATGGAATGAGTTGTTTATGGTATGCAATACCACTATTACTAAAGAATGAAGTTAACTACAAGAACACCGAAATCCTGATACAGTTTATACTCCATTGAAAGAGGTTTTAACTCACCTCGCTTATTACGCCAGTAAACCTATAGAGAGTGCAGTCTATTACTTTTATAAATAAACTATGGGTTTTTCGGCACAATAACCGATAGGTTCTTGACCAATCCGGGCACTTGTAGTATCACAGTCATTTTCTAAAACATTCCTTTTCACGGAATTATTGAAAACTTGGAAGACTGTTTTTGAAAACAGAAACTGTGCAGTTTCAGAGGTGCTCTGTGTTTCCGAAAACACCGAAACGAGCATGTGGTACATCGTTGCTGGTATTTCTACAAGTCACATAGCAAATGAAATCCCTCTGATATAGTTCATGACCATTAATTTTTGTCTGGGACGTGTGACCGTGGGGAGAATGGGGCAGGGAGGAATGTCACCGCTTACGTCGAACAGCTCCAAGATAACTAACAGTTATAGTATCCCCCTTCCTTGACGAGTTACACTTACCTCTCTTTTTTGCCGTCATCTCGAACTGAAATTGAGTCCTTCATCAAATCATACATCTTAAAAAAAGAATAAGAGAAAAATAATTATCGTAAACAAGTCAAAAAAGTTAACTTTTCGACCGGTAACTTTTGTGTCAGATGATTGAAAGTTAACTCTACTGTACAGCTGTTACAACATGTTTCCAGAGACTGAAACTCTGGACCATTAGGGCGAGAAATTCAAAGAGGTTAAAATTCTACACTGCTAAATGCTAAAAAAAAAAAAAAAAACTAGAGAACATTCTTCTTGAATTTTCCTTTTCTTTTCTATGCTTTTTCTTGCAAAAATGAAAACTTGATTAGATAAACGTCAATCGTCAACAAGGAACAGAAAACACATGAAAAGCGTAGATGCAGGAGAGAAAGACGAAGTGGGTTGTTCATCCGCGTCCTAATCCTATATTCATTCTAGCCATGTGAAGCCTTTGAGTGATGAATTCCTGGCACGGTAGTCGCGTTTGGTTGTCATCTAATATCAATAAATTAAACAAACCGTATAATATACAGGGGCCTTCAATATTTTTTTTCCATGAGCTGCTACCCATTGTGTAATGGGCGGCTGTAAGGCTCTTTCCCCAAGGATGGAGGGGGCTGTATTTGGGGGCATGTTTCCCCGGAAAAAATTTTGAAATCTGGAAGATCGGAGATGCACTCTCCAGCATTCTAGTCATTGAAGAGAGTGCTGTTTAAGTAATTACTACTGAAACCTCTGTAATTTGCCTCTCATTCCTGATCATTCCGAATGTTACGTTCCTCGTTAAACGCAGGAAATTCGAAAACCAATGGCCTACCGGGAAGTAACTCACTCGCGTGTAAGCCCACGCGAAACCCAAACACGAAAGCCCATTGACAGGCTACACAGAAGGCGGTGAGAGGTCGTAACCTTTCAGCCCCTATGAGTGACTAGCATCTATATTGTCCTTACTAACAATATCACCCCTCATTCGAACATGAAAGTCACGCGAATAGAGAAGATGATCACCAACTAAAGCAGTTCTTGATTGTGAAACAAATTCTCCTTGCCAGCCTCTTTGGAAATGTACGGAGGACAGTATGGAGAATATACATACGGATCTTAGGGCGTAAAGGGTTAAAGGCGGAAGCAGACTGCCGGTAACCCGGCGGCTTTTATTGAAATCCATGGGTGTGGGATATAGTGCTTGCAATCGACTATTTTTGGGTTAAAATACTTCCATTGCAAGCAAAGTACCCCACTTTAGGGAATTTTAGGAACGACCACGGTTACGCCGTGGACAACGTCGGTTAAAAAAAATAACTTATATCTAACCTACAAATCTCACAATACTCTAAAGTAATTTAGTTTGTTTCTCATTGTCAAAAGTATCTCGAAACTGAATATGGAAAACAGCGTTAAATTAAGAATAGAAATTTAAAAAATAAGCCAGCGTCGTTCAAGTTCTCCATACAACGCAAAGTTTGGTCATTTCACGTTCTAGTTTTGCAGAGGATACAAAGAAAGTTACCATAACGCACGTGCACAGCCATTGTTCTGCTCATTAAATCTTTCGTTTAGTGACGTTCCCGTTGCCGTTGCCGTCGTGGTTTTTTTAACCTCCCTATTTCCTTCCAATTTCAAACTGAAACCTTAGTAACGTACTTATTACGCGCAAAAAAAAACCCTTAATTGTCTCTTTCTCATCTAGACACAAACAATTATCTGAGGCAATTGAAGAGCACCTTTTGCAGGCATCCCTCTGGTCCTGGCTTGAAAGGGCCAAACAGCGCCACCAACTCCAAGAACTGATTAAGTCTGATGTTGTCAGTTGCTAGCACCATGAACAAAAGAAACAGAGAATTAGACAAATTCAGTGCCAAAATCTTTGATAACAGACCTTATGTGGGTACACGTAACTTCATTAATACAATCGAGATACAATAAGAAATGTGACCTGTGTACTATCAACAGTTCCCACGCAATTGGTCGAACTCAACCCGAAATTATGAGAATCATGTAATCTAAGCCACCATCAACATAAACTGAACGTGACAATAGGTGTCTTGACGACATTTGTGCTAGATATTCCTTTGGCTTAGAAGAGCTCCTTCTTATCATCAGTGAAGACTGGAAGAGATGCTTATTAAGATGACAATGGCAGCGCCGATAACGATAAGATAGTAATAAGTTAATAGAGAGCGACAACGATCATGACGATGAAGGTGACGACAACGATGACGACGACGGCGATAACGATGAAGATGACAATGAAAATGATAATGACAGTGACAATGATAATGACAATGAAAATGATGATGATGATAATGATAATGATAATGATACTGACTGACAATGATAACGACAATGATAAAGATAATGACAATGACGGAATGCATAGATGTTAGCAAAATAAAGTCTAAAGTCAGGTAACCCAGGGGCATTAATGAGCGTCATGAAGAATAGTATTGTATGACCCAAACCTTACGTAACGTACTTCCAGGTAATCGCAACCGAACACGAAATAATAACACCTTATCATTTACTTACCATCTGTGTTACCATATTCAAGGCCGAGCAGTTTGCTGAGAAATTTCTGCACATTTCCCTGCTGAATTTCTATCGGACAAGTGCTTTTGGCAGCTTGACAAAAATTGCTCCATCTCTAGAAAAGTGAAACCCGAATGTAACGGCAAAATCCGCAACAACAGCCCATTAGCCTCTAACAACTGAGATGATGCAAAGCCTTTTACAAAATTGGCTGATGCAAGCCTTTTCAAAATTAATTGGATAACAGTCACCCCAGTCAGTGGTTTGTCTATTGAAAGTGTTCTAATCGCCCTCTGGCAGAGAACAACGGTTTCTTCTTTGGAAACTAAGAACTTTGTTTATTCAGCGGCTGCTGTTGCAAACATGGTTTGTCATCATGGACCCAGTTAAACAGCTAAGCCTGTCACGAGTCACCTATAGCTCAGTGGTAGACTATTCAAAGTACTAATTGGAAGGTTGTAGCTTCGACCCGATTGGAAGCACTCGGAGTTCTTCTTCTCCGATTATGCAAGTGTTATTAACTAAATAACATCTTCTTTCATGGATGCAATTTTCAGTATTACCATTCAGCATTTTTTTAATGGAATGCCTCCAATAAACGGGCAACGTCTGCAATTTTTTTCTTATTCTCATATGCCAATTAAACGTTAAAAAAAAGCTATAGGGTAGAGTACACAATTAACGATACATGTACCCGTACATGAAAACAGTACCTTTCGTTCTTTAGTTCCAGGAATGTTTTTCCAAAACTCCTGAGATTCAACTGAGTGAAAATCTTCACCTGATGATGAATAAAAAACAAGTTCTTTTAATTTTGCTTTCTACAGCTTACCATAACCAGCTTTTTTGTTTTTTTCGAAAACTAAAGGACCACAATTTGAACTTCCGAGCATTTAAAAAACATGGTAGTTACAGAGCGAGGTACATGACATTCGGTTACAAATAGGCTTGCCTAATAAGAGACACTGAAAATGGAAGGTTGAAGGAATGCAAAAAACTGAATAATTAAAGGCTGGAGCTTAATTAGAGAGGGGCTCTCTCGTCTGATAAGATAGCCCAAGTTTCAATAGGCTTGGGAGAGGGTTCTTATTCATGACTTATAGACTAGTTATAGAAAACGATTTTAACACCTGTCTGTGTTCCACGCTTGAAGAGGACAGTCTCGCTTCACAACGTTCAAAATAAGGCGTGCTGAACACATTTTACGCTTGTGTATGTTACACGTAAAAGAACTCATCATGATATGGGAGAATTGCTAAATAAATAACATCCTGGAAATTAAGAACATTGAGTATTCATTTCAGATTCACCTGAAGGCTGGCTCAATTGTTTATCAATCAGAACATGTTGTAGTTCAATTTTTGTTACCCACTTTTTTTTTTGACACACTCTAATTCTGGTAGTTGTGGTGTGTTACCATGTAAATGTTGCTCAGCTCAAATATCATTTTCACTCACCCTTTTCATCTGACTCCTCTGCCACCACCTCTGATGTGCTACTGTGAAACAAAGTAACAAATTAACATTTAACACAAGATACTTTCCAGTACACTTTGATTAGCTTACAAGTTTAGTGAAAACACTATCCGGTGGTAGATCAGACCTTGAGCTCAGGGGGGGAAGGGGGTGCTGGGTTTTTGACTCACTTGCCCTGCCAGCTTTTCTTTATTCTGCGATTCTTTTTTTTTTTACCCAAAATAAGGGGGGAGCCTGGGCCCTCCCAGGCACCTCCCCTAGATCTGCCACTGCTATCTTTGTGGTCTCGCATCTCCTCTCTGACTGGCCACTACTTGAGAGCAACCACAATCAACTCTGCTCTTCCTAATTAGCATAAAATTGTACATAAATTCTGCATCTGAAATAACAATTTGATAGTGTAGTCTGATGGTGTAAGTGAGAGCAGTGGTACTTCTGGTCCTACCAAGAATTGTTGTCATAAACAGTGACTCATTTTTTCAAAGAGATGTCATCGTCAAAGTCACAATTTGAGTCAGATGTGTGGCAAAGGTTGTCAAAACAGCAGTCCTCCTAAAGAGAACCCTGACCTGAATGTTAAGGCTACATGATAAAATGTACTCCTGAGTACAAACCAATTCTGTGTGAAATAACAGAAATGGTGCAAAATCAAACACCAGAAAATCCTTCTTCTAAATCACTGCAACACCATCATATAAAGCACAACTTTAAGCCTCCAATTTTTTACAACAAATCAGTGATGCAGCTTATCTGCTCTGGAAAAGGGTCACAAGTTTGCCCAAATTAACACTATTCAACAAAAATTTATAAGTCTTAATAGCATGCAAACAATTTTAGTATAAATATAAAAGGATAAATATCGATCATTGCTTTTGCAAGTTTTGCAAAAAAGAGGCACATTTTGATCATATATGCATAAGCTTATATTTCTTGCTGTTGAATGGTGTTAGATCTTCTTTGTTAAGAGTTTGACAGCACTTGAAAAAAAAAAAAAAAAAACCCATCCCTAAGAGTAGATTTCCAGAAAGATTTTTTGAAAGCCTAGCATGATGAAAAAGGTTTTTCTTTATTGGCAAATGTAAGTCACTCTGATTGGTCACTTTCACATAAAACAGTTTATTGTCTTACCTTTCACATCCAGAGTCTTGCAATGACCACGAAAGACCAGAAGATGTGCTTTCGCCATAATCACTCTCTTGTGTGGGAGATCTTAGATGTGGTGGTCTGATAGAGTTGGTATTACTCTCAATATAATGTTTGTCCACATCATCCAGCACATCACTTCTATTGATATCTACAAGAATCTCCAACAGATCTTTACAGGTTGTTGTAGTGCACTGCCTGAGAAGTTCAATAGTTGGCTTGGAGACTTTTTCCAGTCGATGTATGATATTTGAGAAGCCGAGCCGAGAAGCTACCAATCGCCAATCATTGCCATTCTCTTTGTGATCATCAAGAGACTTTGCAAACTCATTCTTAACTTCCCAATCAAAGTCCTTTACAAGGTGTGGAAGCCTTGAACACTGCATTCACAAAAAAAAAATGACTGTGAATTTGCTATACTGGTTGCAAAGTCACCAATAAACGAATGAGCGGGGCTTCATTTTACATCACTCCCTACTCATGAAAACTATATGAATCAAGAAATGGGGAAAAAGGACAAGCTGTCAAGGCAATCATTACCATCAAATTTCATTCAACCTGTTGAATCCTTAGAAATTGCAATCTCCACAAGGTCTAACATTTATCTCAATTCAGGGATATTTCTTGGGTGCTGTTCTACGTTTAAATATTTTGTTTTCTATATTTTGCTACAGAATGAAAACCCTGTTTGTTTGTTGCTACAATTTTCTTGAAGTAAAAACATGTGAACTTTTACTTCCCGGTGAGCAGCTTTGGGAAATCTAGTCCAGAATCTCTGGAGCTGTGTGGCACCATTTCTTAGGACAAGAAAATGTTTCAGTTTTCTATGGGTTTATTGGCGGATAATACATAATGGATTTTCTACCAATCAGAGTGGGCATCGTGTCTAAGTTATGTCATAAATACTGATATTTTTCATGTATATTTAGGATCGCTGACTGTTACAGATTTGTTATTACATCATATATGCTAGGAGCACTATGAATTTTGGTTATAGTTTGAGCACGATTTTGTCATCATGGTGAATATGAAGGTGTTAGTATAAAGGTTGGATTAAAGAAGGTTGCAATCCATCATGTCAAGCCAATTCTTGCATGAACAACATAACCAATCCAAAAAGTAATTTCCCTTGGAGAGGGATGCCAAACAAGTGACCCTTATTATGTGTAAAGCTTTCCCTCCCTGAAAAACTGCTATGGTTGTCTTATGTTGATTTGCCCATAGGACACATGAGATATAGCAAATATTATGGCTTGCTTCCTGTTCTTGAGAGGTAAGGGACCAAGCCTGGAAACTATATATTGAAAGTCACAGGAAACAATCACAGCAGATATTGTCTGCATATTGAATTACTTAAATTTTCTCACATGAGACATAAAAGTTTGTGACCCAAAACAACTTGTGATTGTTGGCTTTTAGCACCTTGACAGTGCTGACTGTTCTGTTGTAAAGCATGCAAGAAGCAGTTAGAGCGTGAAAGAAGTGTAAGGAGAAACATGAGACTTAGTCAAGTGTTTCTCCCCACTTCTTGAGTTACAATGCATGGAAATTGTAACTTAACTCCCCCCTTTCTAAACTCTACATTACTGTATACCCCTCCCATATTCTCAGTACCATCCATAGGAGAGAGGGATAGTATTACCAGGAAAATCTTAAATTTGAAATCAAAGAGTTAACATTTTTTTCTTTTTATATTTAATATATTTCTCTTGAAAATATATCTTCCAGTAAATCAGATAGAATATATAGGATTATGTGTTTTTCTTTGGATATTGATGTAGAAAAAGTTCCTTTTTGGTTTTTCTATGACAGTGGGAGAATGAAAAATTTCTAAGTACCTTAGCCCCTGATAATGCTTTGCTCAGATACACTACCACTCAGTCACAAAGACTCTACATTGAGCTAGGTCATTGCTAGGTTCACATGCACTGTTTTACACACATCCTGTATACAGTAAAGATCAAGGTTAGGGTTAAGTGTTCTGTGTATAAATAGAATAAAAAATATGGTGAATTTTTTAACTTGGTGATGAAATATAGTAAGATATTTTTTTTGTCTTTTCACATGTATTGGACTATGAATTGAAAAAATTCTGAGTCCTCATGAGAAATTCTGAGTCATCATGGAAAATTCTCAGTCCCCATGAAGAATCAAACCACAGACTTTTGCCCTGCACTCCAATGTTCTCCAACTGACCTGACTGCTTTGATGCTCTACCTCTTAGTGGTAGAACACCTCTTTAAAGCAAGCATGAAGTAAACCTCAGGCATGCAAATTTCTATTTGGCAGATTTCTGATTATTACCCATGGCAAATTAAATTTGGTTTTGTATGATTTACAATTATGACAATCCTATTCCAGCTGTTTCCACAAGACTTAGGGATATAATACTCACCAGGAGTTGCATTTTAAGCATGGTGTCATTCCTGTCAGACAACTGCCTATGTAATGATACTTCGTTAGAGGATGAACCTCCACTCCAACTATGTATACATGTAATCAGAAACAAAAACAGTGAAACAGTCAAAACAACTAAATCATTCTATAATATTCATAACTCTCACATTTCATTTCGTTATGTCTATTATTTAACCCTTTCACTCCCAAGATCTTACTAGTAATTCTCCTTACTGTCTGCTATACAGTTCTTGTGATGTTAGTTTTAGTTAGGAGAATTTGGTATTTCATGGTCACTCAAGGGAGTTAAAGAGTTGACTCCAAAGAGTGACTAAGACACGATCCCTCCTCACATTATCAACATCAAGCAAAAAAGTAAAGAGAATAGAGAAAATAATTATATAGAAGATAGTTGGCTGATCCTATACTAAATTCTCCCAACTTTTATCATGAGAATAGCATGGCAGACAGAAAGGAGAATTACTAATGAGATCTTGGGAGTGAAAGGGTTAAATAATAGACATAACGAAATGAAATGTGAGAGTTGACAGCATACTAAATCCTAAAAGCAGCGAGGCAAGCCACAAATTGAGTATAAAATGCTACTGCACTGTTGGTACCTTCTTCTTATACCATCTTCATCCATTATGGACAGATCATTCACGCTTCCCTGAAAAAGAAGAAATTGGGAATTAGTTGATGATTTCATAACATATAATTGGAATAACTGTTAAATTTCATTAGCTTTGAGTACCACAGAATCATTTCTTCTGTTCCCTTTGAATACATACAAAGATCATACAAACATTTTCAGATATCTTTAAATTATACTTAACATGCAGCCAACCCCAACTCATATCTACACATGACAGTGACAAACTCTAAAGCTCATTGGCTACTTTGGTCACTATACACGATTAAACATTCTTTCTTCTAGTTAATTTCTGTTTGTATTTTTTCTATATCATTGTAAATCATGTTATGTTGAGTTATTTTTTCTGTAAACAGTGTAAAATAATAAAGTGTGAAGTGTCTCTACACAGTGTTGTACGAGCTTTAGTAGAGGGCTTTCAGTTTTCACCACAGACAAGACAACAATTGGAAGATCCAAGACTCTACACTCTTAGCATAGAAACAATCACGAGATACAATCACGAGGCATTCGAAATTAACCGTTCTTCTTTAGTGATCAATTGCAACCCGATGGAGGCAATTATCCGCCACAGACAGATCACGCTTGTGTTTGACTTCGTTATTACACCGATCGATCGATCAAGCGATTTCAGCAGTTTCCGTTCATCATTAATGCTCATTCGATCGCATCATCGAAAGAAAACGGGGCAATTTGAAGCCTTTCAAAATGATTTCCAAACCGAAAAGCAATAAAAAGACATAGATTATGTAAAGCCAACGTACTTATTAATTCGCGCCATAATAGTCAGGAAGAACTCGGAAATGTTATCAAGCGTAAAAAGTAAATGTAAGAGTATAACTAAATTATAAGAACTGGGAAATATTAAGAAAGCAAAATGATTTAACACTCACAAAAATCTCTACCACAGATTGCCAATTCTGGTCGGCTCATCGGCTAGAAATAAAAAGTGACATAATTTTATGTTATTTCTGCGAGGACAGAGTTTACTTTCGATTTAGCATTATAATATATTAGTACGTAACGTGTGATTGGTTGTTAGTCAAAGTCCTAATTTGGAAATGCTCTGGAAAAGACACCAACGGAATCGAATGTACTATCGCGGACAGAGTTAAGGGGAATCCCTTAATGGATTACCTCATCGCCATATGCATGATAAACGCACCATAATCAGTTTCATTACGACATATTTTGACACGAATGTTTATGAAATGTGACACCTGAGCTTGAAGTGTACCATGGCGGATGTCCGAGATGATTTTGCAAACTTATCCCTAAATGAAATAGCAGGAAATAGGCTACAATTGCTGGGCAAAATTCAGAAACAAATTCGTGTTGCAATTAGTTCTCTCGAGGCCGGAAGTGACTTGGTGACAAACGAGCAAGTTCGACGCATCTTACATCAAGTAAACAAGAATATTGATCTGATAAAAGCCTCGTGCAACGAACAAGGTATACATGTTTATAATTTTATTGTTATTTTTCATTTTATGTATCGGGAAGTAAAACTATCGTTTCTTACTTCGCCCGTTTTCCCCTGAGGTCTTATAAAGTTGTTTGGGGTTTGTTCAATCGCTTCCGAGAAAAGTTAATTCATCAAAAAGATAAATCGACAGTTTAGACTGGGATTACATCAAATTATGTTGTTGATCTGTTATTGTTGACCCGTTGTTGGTTTTACGAAAGTATGCTTTTAAATGGACAACTCAAATCATGTTTTTCCAATGGACGCCACGGGACAAATATTTCATATATCAAAACTTCCCGACACACTTTCGTTTTTCATTATTCCTTGGATGTTTTGGCGAAAATTGACGAAAATCGGTCAAGTCTATTTACCGTATATATTCGCTCAAAGTGATTGTATTCCTTCCAAAATCAAACGCGAGATTTTAGCTCTTCAAGGTTCGCAAACAACTCGCGCCACGCCAGGAGATTATTAGGGACCTTAAGCAAACCACGACAGCGACGGCAACCGGCAGAACAATAGCGCAGCACGTAAGTTTTAAAACTTTGTACATTTCTTAGCCGTCCTATACAAAACAACAACGTGAAATCGCCACAATTTGCGTCGTCTGCGAACCGAAACCGCGACGGCAAATTGTTTTAATTTCCATTTGGAACTCAACGCATCTTTTATACGTTATGCCGTAGTTGAGGTGTGGCGCCGTATGAGACGGTTAACACATGCAGCCATTTTTGAAATTCTAATTAAAGGCAGAAATTCATTTTTCAATCGAAGTCTTCCTTGGCGTTGCCGTCCTGACTGTTTAAGGTTCATATTATCTCGCCTCCTGAAACGGTCAGCATTAGATTCCATCCACCAAAACCACCTTGGTCGAGAGGGACTGGGAT